AACTATAAAAAAAATAAAATACATGAAAATGCTTTAAGACTTCCATGTGTTACTTTTTTGCCGTCCAAAGAGTTGGAGACATTTCTTCTTTTATTCATGTACAATAAAAAATAAAAAAAAAATAAAAATCATGGTATAAAAAAATATAACATTCCTTTAGTATTGCTTTAGAACACTGACTTGACAGGTATGGTAAATCTTAAGATTTTATCGCAGGTACCAGCTTTGCATCCATGTAGGAACATCTGTTATATTTCCTTTGAGATGCATTTACTCATTCATTCTTTTATTTAAACTCGAGGTAGAGGCATTATTTACAAAATGGCTTAGTAGAAAATAAAAAAAAGAAGATGTTGGCATATGAATAAGAAATCTTGATTAAAAAATATTTTAAAAAGGCAAACAAAGAATAAACCCAACAATTAGGATGTACAAATGAATCAGCTCTAATAACAACAGATGGAAGTAAGACAAGATCAAATTAAACACTTAAATTGCAATTGCTTAATACAATGCAAATTGTTTAATACAATTCAAATGGGTGGAATTATATAAACATTCACCTCTTGTACACTTATCATGAATGGGGACAGTGGCTGTAGAGACCAAATTTGAGGCTCAATTTGTTGTAACAGGGTATAAACATGTTTTGTTGTTGCCGTAAAGTAAGGCATTTTATCAAGGAATCAAGGAACTGCAGTTATTGGTTTTTCTACGTTGGTTTCATTTTTTAGCCTCAGAAATTGCAGCTTGACTATTCCAGGTTGTGGGTGAACAGTAAGTAAAAGTGGATTTCCCAAACCGCCACCTGCGATGTAATCCAATCATCTGAGTGAGTTAAATAAGGGCTTGTATTAAAAGACAGCAAGAGCCTTATGAATAAATGAAACCCAGTGTCTATCCCCCTACCGATTATGCAAGAAATGTATTGCTCAGTACGTCTGAAGCATGACAACAGTTTTAACCATTACAATAATGACCTTGCTTTACAAAAACCTATTTGGCAAAGCACCATCACCCCTCTAACCCCATTTACTTTTCTGTTTATCATTATCTAAAGGCAGTCATTACAGATAATAACAGGAACACAACTCAGCTTGGTACACAAGCAGCAGCTGTGCCCAGTAGCAACAAGCAGCCCAACTTTAAGACACCTCGCAGGTTATGTCAGCGAACGAGAGACGTCCTGACTTTGAAGATTCAGAAACAAAGAAAGGAACATTACTCAGGGGTGGGGGGGAATCCTTGCCCTGAACAGCATCGGTGGACATGAGTGTGTGCTGTCCATCTTCTGTCCTCTCTCTCTCTCTCTCTCTCTGGTAGCTATCCTTGCCCCATGGTGTTTGAGAGTGGGTTTTGAGTGTTTGGCAGGTTAAATTTAGCCTATTGATGTAAGCTACATTCCACTCACAACAGACACAGAGACACACTCACAGTTTGGCTTTAGTGTCCGGGAGTGTGAAGATCAGGGAAGATCAAACCTCCTCCTGGTTGACCCCTGAGCCTCCGTGTCTCCCCTTCAAGGATACAGGTCGCACAGTAGGGACGCCACTACAGGTATGGACGAGCCTCGCCAAGGTGTATTTTATGAATATGTGGTATGCTTATATTATTCTTAAGTTATGGTAGAATGTTTAAGAATTTAACTCTATTGTGATAAAATAAATTTGGCACTAACATGTATATTTTCAAAAAAAAAAAAGATAACAGTGCACTTTCTTATGACCTTATTGCTTTATCTTCTTCCGTTTTTCCCCCAAATATCATTACTTCAAAGTCAACAGTGTAGGGACCAAGTGACTTATTAAGAAGCATTTCTACCAACTATTGTCATGTTCTTGTCTTTGACAACGAGGCAGAACTAAATATATTTGCCTAAAGCTATTTTTGATGTCACGGTTGAGCCCTTTTTTTGGCACTGCTGGGCGTTTGTTGTGTCCATACAAAAACTCAGGACACAACATTCATCCTTGACCTTTATTCAGGTGATTTATCTTGTGACAAACATTAAAGGGAGATGCCACTAACTTTAACTCACATAGTCAAAAATTGGTGCAGCGACCGGTGGAGATTTAAAGTTTCGTGCGTGTGGTACCGATGCAAATACAACGGGGCTTTATGGATTATGCAACACGCTGTAATGGTTAAATAATATGAGATCTGCAGAGGTTATCGTGAAATGACAAATGCTGATGTAGCAGATTTATTTCATAGGGCACTGAGGTGGAGAGACTTTATAGACTCGAAAAACTATTTATATCATACTCGTATCACGTGTACTGTATTATGAGGTTAACTTGGGCCTTGTCTTTAAATATTCGTCATTTCATACTGACATTAATACAACAGTACAGACCCAGAATTTTTTTTCTGTGTCAGATAATCAAAGATGGCTTTACACTTAAACTCAACAAACAGCGGACCCTCTATTTAGCTTTAACCCATCACCCAATGAGCTGGCACTATTTCCTATTGGTTCACAGTATTAGGAGCTCCTTCTTTATGACCTGGACAGAACAACTACATCCTGTGTCCTGTATGTGTTTCCAGTCCTCCTGCCAACCTCGCCAAAGCCACAATGTCACAATTCTGTACAATGCCAGCTGGAGAGAGGAAGAAGCATGCAGCAGCTATTTGCCGAGAGGTCCATGGTACCAGCGGTATGATGTTAGAGCTGAAGCTCGGCAGACAAACACACTGCTGCAAGACAATATCCATTCTGATCAGAGTTCAAAATGTCAGGGCTGCTCTCCAGCATTCGCCATAAATAAGCTAATGGGATGATTTACTACCTATGGTGACTAATCCTTTGTCGTTGTCCTTTTCAAAAGTCTATTTCTGGGTGGGTAGGAGTGTGGGTGGGAGAGGGGAGGGAAGCTGTGTGGGCCAACTGTGTAGCTGTTTGGGTATTGTGGTGAAGGTCTGTGACAGCTGTGGTACATTCTGTCTGTATCGAGGATGAGGAAGCATCATGTACATCCAGAACTAATTGTCAAGTACAATGATAACACATTTTCCATGAAAGGGCTCCTAAAACAGATATAAGGAATTTAGGGAATGAATGTTTGATGTTATCTCTTCTTAACCCTACCTAGTTCTGTGTCTTGTGTGTTGCCAAACAAATTAGCAATCAAGTACATGAGCATAAAGAAACCATGGGGCCTTTGTCTGACTTGCCTGGTTGTTAACCTAACTGGGCAATTCAATGACATTGGTGACATTGAAAAAAACAGGAAAATGTACATTACCTGAATGACATATGTTTTTAAAATGTTATCTCACCATTATGTAAAATATAAATAATAAACTGATATTATTGGTCAAATATGCATTTTATACAGACTGAGTTATGTTTATTTCTCAACTTTGTTCTTTAATAGAGGACATCATGGATCTCGGAAAGAAGCTCTGCACTCCTAAAGACATCATGTTGGAGGAGTTATCACTGCTTTCCAACAGAGGTTCCCGACTTTTCAAAATGCGCCAGAGAAGATCTGAAAAATACACATTTGAAAGCATTCAGAATGAAGCAAATGTGCTGCTAAACGTGAGTCGACTTGCTACTCAGTCATTTGATGTGTTTAAATGAATACACTTATTGCCCAACATTGTCAGAGTTGCCCTGTGGAGAGTTGGCTTTAGTGCTGTCTGCAAGAAATTTTGCAAAGCTGTCTGTGTACCAATCATTCTTTCAAAAAAAAAAGTGTTACAACACATGGATGATAACAGAGACATGTGCCTCGTGCCTTTTACGTTCTGCTGCCAAATCTTCTGAGAGACTGCTCAGGCACTTTGCTGACGGGCTGCTCCCCAGTTTATCAGTGTATGTTGATGTGTGTGTGTTACCAGTTACTGTTGCTTTATGTCCGTTTGTATCGTGGTGCACAGAAGACGACAGCAGCTATAGCTGTATAAACAATTCGCCACACAATTGCTGTTTTAACCAGCATACAAATATACATGCAAAGTGTTTTATTCTGTTTTGCAGAATGATATGTTGAATCAGAACGCACACACAGTGGAAATCAAAGTGGACGCACCCAACCATGGAGACACTGCCAATGCAGAAAACATTGTTTCAGGTAATTATGCAGTTCAGTAAGTCATGCTGTTTATGTTGAATCTGACGTGGAACATGATGATTTACAGCATTAGTAAGGATTTAGACAAGAAAAAAAACATCCATAATCACAAGTAAACATGAAACATGCTTGCATTAAAGCAGAAAATTTGGTACTTGTTTTTACAAGTCTTCTTTTCTTCATTAGGCTAAAATTAAGCTGCTGCTCAGTCAAACAAGAGCTTCTGATTATGTAATGTTGTCACGATAATGACAAGTGGTATCATACTGTCATTACAGCTGGTCTTAACTCATTTCCAGAGCATGACACGGTGCACTGCATGTCACTGTGATTAATTACACAACTTAAGCAGCTTTATTTGATTTTATTATTTTAATAGCAACCAGAGCCCCGTGCTTATTCCAAAGTGCTTCAGTGGGGCTCCATCTCATGTCGACACATTATATGATGAGCACACACTTGAACTATGTGCTATTTTAAGACCTCAGATCGTAATGATGGACAACTCAGTCTGCCTGTGTAAGTGTTCTCTAAGCACAGTATCTATTCATAATCCTATCCACTTCAAAACTTTAGCCTTAAAAAAAAAAGCTCAAGAAAACAGCTCTGCAATAACCTCTAACTAACTCCCTCTGTTAGAATATTTATGTATGATCTCATGGGCTGCAAGGTGGCGCAGTGGTTAGCACCGCTACCTCACAGCAAGAAGGTCCCGGTAAGGACACCCGGGATCTTTCTGCATGGAGTTTGCATGTTCTCCCCGTGCAGCATGGGTTCTCTCCGGGTTCTCCGGCTTCCTCCCACACAGTCCAAAAACATGTTGAGGTTAATTGGTGATTCTAAATTGTCCGTAGGTGTGAATGTGAGTGTGCTTGGTTGTCTGTCTCTAAGTGTGGCCCTGTGATAGACTGGCGACCTGTCCAGGGTGTCCCCTGCCTTCACCCTAAGTCAGCTGGGATAGGCTCCAGCCCAGCCCCCCGGGACCCTAGTGAGGATTAAGCGGTGTATAGATAATGGATGATCTCATTTAACAGACATGACTGCAGAGAAGTTAAACACCACAGCCACGCACAAGTCATATCACTCGCCATGGGAGGAGGCCATCCTCAGTGACCCTGACCTCGCTGAGAGCGTCACACCAAGAATGCCAGCACCAGACCCGCGGCCAGAGCTGCCTGAATACAGATGCTTTAACCGGTGAGGAAACTATGAGCACATTTTAGTGAATTAGTGCAATGAGAATCATCACTCACGTGTTGATCTAAACCACAGGGTCGCCACTCCTTATGGTGGCTTCGACAAAGGTCCCAGAGGAATAACATTCAAACTGCCTGAGGTGGACCTGAACCCCCCCAGATACCCGGAGCTCCAGGAGCCGGGGGTGAAGCGGCCCACCTTCAACAGGACGGCCCAAGGGTGGATATCCGAGGGAACCCACCTGATTCTGCCCACAATCACCTTGGAGCCCATCAAAATCCCAGAGTCCGATGACCTGTAGATGATTTATCTAACAACACGGTGGCAGGCTGTGGTATTTTTTTGGCTCTACCTATGACAACAAAGCAGTCAGTTTGTAGCGCAGTTGCAATTCTTCTTACCACTATTTGAGATTTTTGTTCCCATGTGATGGACACAAAATGTTTCATGTGTTTGTTCTTCAGTTACCTAGCATGTTTACTACACACTGGAATCCAAAGAAAATCATGTAAATAGCAAAAGGAATGTGATGTCCAGGACATTATTCAGGACGAGTTTCCGCCGCTGCTGAAAACAAAACTGTAAATTTTAAACATGTTCAAATGAATTGATGAAACATGTAATGTAAATAAAAAAAAAATGCAGCTTTAGCAAAACTGGAACATGCAGCAAGTTATATGTAGTTATGACTGGGCAGTAGTCAGTATGAATTCAATTTTATTTAGCACTAAATCACAACATATGTCATCTCAGGGCACATTAAACCAAAGTCATGGCCTTGCAGTTTTTTTCTACAATATCTGTAGTACAAAAAACTATGCTGCCATCACTTCCCAAAATAAAAAAATAATTTCAAATGTAAAATTTCACATTAGCTTTGGAAATATTAAATATATACAATTGATTGAGCTGTTTTCCAAAGAAAAATAGTGCAAAAAATTGTTTTAACTTATCAATTTGTTAATAAAAGTGGAGGCTCTCTTTCATGTCAAGCAAGACAGCATCTCCTCAGAAGATCACTTGATGAGCCCTGTGATGGCATCTAGCTCTACTATTCACAATGGCCATGATTTAAATTAGAAACTGCAAAATTATGAACCCAAAACCTTCAAATGGGTATTTAAATATATTCCATAAATGGTTAACACCCTGCACAATAAAATATAAAATATGTAGTCATACTTGATTGTTTAAAGCGTGATCACACTAAGGAGAAAATGAAATGCTTGTTCTGTATTGTTTTGTAGTCACAGATGGACCAAGCAGAAGTTGTCATTTCATAGCATCAAATCGTAGAGTGACAACACTACTTTGTGTGTATGAGTTTATACAATCATGCACTGAATGTTTGTGAGGTGCATTTGGTGTTGAGCACATTGTGTTTCCTGAAAAATCAAACATTTAGGCTGCATAATTTCTGTATTATATGTGCAGGTTTTTAGGAGTTTAACTTCATTTTTCTTGTTGAACGCGCCAACACATATTACACATTGCATGCTTGATTATGAACTTAAGCATATGATTGTGTGCTATTAATTCATTTCAAAGTAGAGGAAACAGTTGTTCCTTTCAAACAGCTGGACAACAGAAATGGAGGGACACAGGGGACAGAAGTTCCACAGGATTGAATTCAAGGCTGGTGGGAACTCAAGAAGAAACACACACAAGACTAACCATGTCTCCAAAACCTCAGCACTGCAAAGAATGCAGATGCCGTTCATACACACTGGTCCCAACAGGATGGTATGTGAGCCATCCTGCAACTCAGGGGGGCAAAAGTTATCTCACTTCTTCAGCTGTTTCATTACTGACATGATAAGAAACAACACAAGCTGTGCATGTCTGTGATTTTGGCACCCGCTCCCTAAAAAGACAACGCTGTAGCAGGTGATGTTTTATTGTCATTGTGGATTGTGTGTGCAGATGTAAAGCTGATCTGAACATGCAAATCTTAGTCAGTAGATGTGAGTGTAGAGAACGGCTGTGCAGCACTCAGCAGGAGAAACAAGAAGCCTTTTTTTATTTTTTATTTTTTTTATAAATAATACCAAGAACTGTTCATCTGTCCCAAGGGAGGATTCAGTGCTATTCCTGGAGCGACAGCAGAATGCAATACACTGGAAAAATACACACAGTGTCCTTAAGACAGGGTTAGAGAAATCCTCTGTCCACCAGACTGCACATCTATACCTTCTCTATATATCATTTTAATATATATTGCGCTTAGTACGCAGTGGTTAGTCCTTTCATGTGGGTTTAAATCTGGTGGTCAACTGGGAGCTCTTCTGTTTGAAGTTTGCATGTTGTCCTGAAGGTTCTCTCTTCGACAGTTCAAAAACATGCATGATAGGTCAACTTGTGATCCTAAACTGCCTGTAGATGTAAGCCAGAAGGTGCACGGTTGTCTGTCTGTCTGCCCTTCGGCCTACGTGAGCAGGAAGAGGCTCCCGAGCCCCCCGCGACCCTCACAGGACAAAGCAGGTATAGCAAAAGAACAGATGGGTGACGTATTAATGCCCCATTTTCAGCTGTCCACTGCTCAGCATCCCGGCCAGAAGGTACAACATCATATACTTATGATTACAGTAACACCCTGAAGCCGTTTTTGCTCAGGATCGTGAGCTACAGTGAGAAGTGCCTGTTTAATATTCCTGAACAGATTGAATTCTTGGACGCAAATCAGTGAGGACTTCTCAGTGTAACAACTCACCAATACTCTGTTTTTCACAGGCTGGCCCGCATGCTGTGAACACACACACACACAATCGCACACACACAATCGCACATGCACACACAGTGATGTAAATAATCTACTGAGGTTCACTGACACGCTGTATTTAAAGAAAGTGAGAACAGGAGCAGCTGATGAGCGCTTGGCAAGGATGTGTAAGCTTTTTTTTTTCTAAATGAGCTTTCATTTTTATTTTTCATTCATTGCCATGCTATAGAGTGCAGCTATGCAGCCAAACTTTGCTCTGTTTTGAACGGACTGACTTAAATCTTTGCAGAAAAGACACACACCAATTACTTAATGTCACTTTTGCTGACTCCAGCTTGCGAGCACCATCAGCCTCTTTTCCTGTCTACACTTAGAACCTGCTCGGCTCTGCAGGCTTTCCCCTGCCAGGCCCTCCATCTGCCCCGATTTTTTTTCCATCCCATGTCCTGTTTACTGCCGCAGTAAAGTCACACAGACGGAAATGGTAGAATATTTACAACGCTTGATGACAAAAAATGAATATTTAATAGGAATGCGTGTCACAAATGACAAATAAGACGATGACAGCATGATCCTTTTGTCTGGTGTGGCTTGTGCATTTAGCAACAATATGCACATGAGGTGTTTTATTCAAAGAGAAAATGACAACAGCAGCCTATTCTGTTCTGTCTGACATGTAAGTGAGAGCAATTTTTTTAAAAACACAGGCAGGGGTTAGTCCCCACAGTGCTGCATGATTATGAAACCAGTGCAGTCATGTGATGTCTTCTCTCATCATCATCATGACAAGTTGGAAGTCTGACCTTCCGCCAGCACACAGTAGTTTGCCATGCAGGGATTGAAGATTGCACTACAACAGCAGTGCACTTGAGGCTACACTAGGGGCGGAGTTTGACCTCCCAAGTCTCAAAACATCACTAATCCGCGTCGGACATTCTGGTCCAGGCCATCATCGGCCCTGTTTGGACTCACAAAAAAAAAAAAAAAAAAGAGACGAATTACCAGAGAAACAACAACAACAGCCCTGCAGTTCTCTCTGCTGCGGAATCACACGGACGCTCGGGCTTGTGTGCGCGTCGGAGCGGGGTTTTGGGAACGAGCGCGTTACATGCGGCTGGACGTATCTGCAGTCATCTCTCCGCCAGTTTTATTTGCACAATTCAGCGGCAAGTCGTGGGATTTTTTGCGGCTTTGACAGCTGGATCGCTCTGCGTCCGACGACTGGCCGCTTCCTCCCCCCATCTAACCAAAGGTGAGCTGTGTTTTTTTCATTTCCCCCCCTCAGTGGTGTGAATGCAAGTTTGCGGCATGTTTACCACCACAGTGTTCCCACGTACAGCAGCAGCAGCCTGCAGCCACCGCCAGGCTGCTGGAACATGGGGCAGCATGTCGTCTCTGGGTGGAGGAGGTGGTGGTGGTGGTGGAGGAGGTTTAATGCAGGAAAACACTGGATCTGGTCGTCAAATCACGTTTACTGAAGGATGCACGTCCTTTTCATGAACCTAACTGCAAAGATGGGCGCTCATGTCGGACCGTATAGGCCCATGTGGGCAACTGGCATCAAGTGGAGGCTCTCTATATGCTGAAAACGTTATGGCACTGAGCAAAAAACATGACTTTAGGTTTGGAATTACAGGCCTAAAATCCATATTCTGCTGGCTGCTTTTACAGACAGCAATGTAAAACACTGGCATCTAATTATAATTGGAAATATTGATTTACTTCCCTATATGACAAACCAGAACAGCCTCAGATCAAAATAAAAAATAATAATTTAGTTGCTTAGTGTGGGGGTCTTGTTGCACATGACATCAATATCAGGCTTCACTTCTGTGTTATGATGTGGTGCTTCTTTACATTTCAGATTGAATGTCATGCTATTTTAAATGTGACAGTTTATGTTCATTATTACCCTTCTAATGCAGCTATTCATTGCAGTGCCATGTCACAATATCCATGAGAAGTGTCCTAGAGCCAAGCAATGCAGCATTTGAAAATAGCAATGATAACATTAGGGGAGTTTTTTTTTTCCCCCCCTCCTCTCCGCTGTCTCTAAGTATTTGTTTAAAGGGACTCCAAAGGAAGCTTTGATTTTGTTGGGTTTCTCGATATATATTTAGTAAGGTCTCCACCTCCCTGTGGGAAAATATGTTGTGAATTGGTGCTACACAAATAAATACGAGAACAAACCAATACATTTAAAGTCATTCTGTCATGCTACCTATTTATTTGAATTGGTTTTCTGCCAACAATATTGCAATAGTTTAGTGAAGTACAATCCAAAGCAGATTTAAAGGTACCTTTCAGATTGAAAGACTAAAAATCTTGTATTTCTTACATATTATGAGAATAACATGTTAAAAAAACAAAAAACAAAACAGGCATCTTTCAGATTGAAAGACTAAAGGATCAGCTCTTTAGATGTAAAAATACAGTCCGTGTGGTGTTAACATTTCATCAGTGCATGTACGGTTTGCCTCATCCTATCTTTCTCTTCCCACATTTTGTCCAGTTGCCATTCAATGTCCAGAGGCACATGGCTGAGGCTGCCCTGTGGCTGATCCTAACGATGCTTTCGACAAACCGCTCTGGAGGTGCGTGGGGATGAAATGGATGGAGCCGATGGCCAGACCAACGCACCAGCTCCCACGTCCCAGCATGTCCAGCTGCAGCAAGTCTCCCCCCAACTCTGGAGAAGGTAGATGACCAGGATTCATCTGGCGTCTGACCAAATCAGTCATTTGGATTAGTGATGTAATGAACAAGATGAACAGAATTTTCATGCTGGACCTCCATTGTGCCACGCAATGTTAATTATCACCGTTAGAGACTTTAAATGTAAAGTGCATTTGCACACACATAGGGCTGATGTTTGTGATGTAATACACTTTAACAGTTATGCATGTGACATTAAAAGACACAAAGACGTGGTGGAGCACCCTCTTAATGCCAAACAGGAGATTTGTGTCAGGAGTATTTTTCATTAGTTGCAGGCTCTAACTCCATGGCATGGGTGAAGATGTTCAAAAAACCTGGCGGAGGTCTTAAGAAATCCTACCAGCCTGGGAGCATGCTCTCTCTCGCCCTCACCAAAGGCCTGCTGAATGAGCCCGGGCAGAACAGCTGCTTCCTAAACAGCGCTGTTCAGGTGAGAACCGTTTTCTACCGACCTGAATTTACCAATTCATTGCAATTTATCGACGAAATACTGAAATTACTGTCTCAGAGCTCGACAAACAAACAGTAAATTCTGCCAACATTTCCACATTCTTGCCTTGTAAATGTAGCTTTTATCACTGAAGGAATTTTCAACCACCAACAGGAAGAAGTAGATCTCAAGACAAGCTATGAACTGTAAAATATGTCTCTGGTTTGACAACTAGATGTTTTACTATCTCCAACAACAACATGTCAGTGATTTGTGCCTGCTGGTCATGGTTGTGGTGGAACTGGTGAGACATGCTAAGACTCCACACACGCCAGCAAAACAAAATGATCAGCTGAAAAATGAATAAAGGCTGCAGTGTTGAGAGGTAATGTTCAGTGGGTTTGGCAGCACTGGCAACCTTTTGTATTTTACACAAAAGCGCTCGATTCAGTGTTCATATCAGCTGTTTACAGGATGTAGAGCTTGTGATGTCTGCGAATAAAAATATCTCCGTTTTGGTTTTTAATAGATGTGCTGTTTTTAAAACTTCACAGGTGCTTTGGCAGTTGGACATTTTCAGGAGAAGTCTGAGGCAGCTCTCAGGTCACTTCTGTCTCGGTGATGCCTGCATTTTCTGCGCTTTAAAGGTACAGAGTGAAGGATGTTGCATTCAAAGCTGAATCATTGTTTTGTTTAGATAAGTGCTGTTACATCAATTTTCTCTCTGATCATATCGGGAGGTTTTACTATAATGGTAGTATGGAAAAATGGAAATGACTATCACAAACATAAAATATTGTTTTTGTTTTCCAGAGCATATTCAGCCAGTTTCAGCAAAGCAGAGAGCGCGTTCTTCCCTCCGACAGCCTGCGGAACGCCCTTGCCGAAACTTTTAAGGATGAGCAACGCTTCCAGCTCGGCCTGATGGATGATGCTGCTGAGTGCTTTGTACGTTGACAACATGCCTTTGGCTTTCAATAATATTCAGTGGACCTTTCCGCCTTTCCATAGTAACTGTGAATTACATTTTTTGGTTCTTCCTCCTTTGTGATTGTGAAGCAGAGTAAAAAAGAAACAGACTCAAAGAGCTTAAATTCTATGTTGTATGTCGCAGTTGTAGTGGTAGCTACGTTATAAAAAGGGGCAATTGGGCTTGTTAAGATGATTTAAACCTTGTTGAGTTATTTAATGGGGTTTCTCCAGTTGTACTTTAATATTGACCTTTATGGGGGGGCACCATTACTTAAAATTTATATACTTAAAAAAAAAGATCAGCATACACAAAAATAATGCTTTCATGTCAAAATGTGAACAAATTGCTCCAAAGTAACATCAATTTATTGAAAACATAAAATGTACAATGAGTGATTGTACACGTTTGTCCTTTTTAAAGTGACTCGTAATTTTAACACAATTTTTAAGTGAATATTCCTCAGAGAACAGTCGAATCCGTCATTTAGGAATATGGCACATGCTTTAATCTGCCAAGAGCAGCCCGTCCTCAAAAACTGAGGGACAGTGCAAGAAAGAGGGACTAGTAAAGGAGGCGACCATGACACCTATGACTCCTCTAAAGGAGTTACACGAGAGAGAGAGACTGTGAATACAACAACTGTTTCCTGTTCCTCACCAGTCAGAACTTTACGAGAGAAAGTCACTGTTGTAAAGAGCGCAAATTAGAGTTCATCACAAGGTCTGTAAGAGACTCTGGGGTCAATTTAAAGAGGGTTCTTTGGTGTAATGAGACCAAAATTGAGACTTTTGGCCTTCACACTAGACGTTATATTTGATGGACACCAAACACTGCACACCATCATCACAAATACACAATCCCAATGAAGCATGGTAGTGGCAGCATCATTATGTGGGGATGTTTGTTGACATCAGACCCTGAAAGGTAAAATACATGTAGCAAAGTACAGGGAAATCCTGAAGGACAACCCGATGCAGTCCGCAAGAAAACTTTGATTTAGGAGAAGACATGTTTACCAGCAAGACAATGACTCGAAGCAAACAGCTAAAGCTGCACAGATTTGGTTTAAAGACAACAAGGTTTAAGCAGTTTTACAAATAGACTGGTGTAAAATTGTAGTTTCCAGATACTCAAGGCTGACTGAGACCTTTTCACACAGGCTTAATGCTGTAATTGTGATCAGTGTACTAAATACCGACTTGAAGGGGGTGTATAGTTATGCAATCACTTTTTTTAGATTTTAAATTTTAAGTAATTGACATTACTTTGTAGAAATCTGTCTGACTTTTACTATTTTCTGAGGAAACACCGAAAAGCTAAATTTGTGAGCTATGTAGTGATAAAGCTTTTGTAATTGCTCTGCTATTTAGTGTTTGTCCGTGTGTACTGAATGTTGGCACTGTGTCTGCTCTTATTTCCTACATATTAGGAGAACATCCTGGAGCGAATCCATTTGCACATAGTTTCAGACACAGCGACTGACGCTTGCTCATCCAAATCCTGTATCACCCATCAGAAGTTTGCAATGATGCTTTATGAGCAGGTAACGAATATTTTCAAATCTGCAAGATGATACTGAAGAACAATACAACACTACATTGTAACGTAGAATAATGTATACAGATGTTTAAACTACAGTCAGGTAATCGCGAATATGTATGTCAACAATAAATAAATGTACACGGTAAAATAATGCAGCTTTTTTTTGTTTTGCAGTTTGTGTGTCGCTGCTGTGGTGCATCTTCAGACCCACATCCATTCACAGAATTTGTACATTATGTCTCCACCACTGCTTTATGGTGAGTACTTGATGGACTGCCACGGCTTTAAAAAATGGGATACAAAAATCAGGCCAGAGTGCTAATCCTGATTTAAATGTCAAAGTATTAAATAAGGTTACTGGAAAATTGATTGTGATTCTAAGCATCTTAGATCAATTTCCTTCCGGTGCTTTAAACGCCATAACAGGAGTGTTTTTTTTTGTTTTTTTAAAAAATATTGTGTTACTTTAACAGATACATATTCATGATCCTACAAAAAAATGATCTTGAGAAGGTTTATGCATCTTTTTGGCACCTTTCTTTTTTGCTGTAATAAAATGTCCGACATCATGCGTGATTATCACCTCACTGGGTTTTATGATTTATCAAGTCGCCACTACTACCTTTAGCTGCACCAAACAACCAAGACTGACTCTGTGGGTCTACCATTTGTTTTCTCCATGAGGTAACAATGGCAAATAATAATTAATCCTAATCTTTTATATTCCCTTTTGAGCAACAAGTGCACATTGCATGCTTCCTGTATGGACTGCAAGAAATAGTTGTGTGTTTGCATTTAGTCTTTTATTAGCGCTAACTGTGAATAACTGAAGGCAGAACAGATGTATTTATTATAAGAATAATAATAATGCATTGATAACAATGCATCCGTCCATTCTCTTTAATGTTTTAGATACTGTTAGATATTAAGTTTGTTGTACAAAAAATAATCACTGAACAGGATTCAGCGAAATTGCAACATTGTGGAATTTACAATTGCAGTACAGGGTTAGGTTCACCTAATGGCCACATGCACCTCTAATGCAATCTAATACAGCAGTGCAGCCATAAATTCTAGCCTAAGATACTCATATTCAGTATTTACAGACTGCTAGAACAGTGTTTAATTCCCATTCACTCACAACACTGTGTTAGTTCCTTCTCTTGCATATCTGACCTCCACTGTGCAGAAGGATGTACGTTCACAGGTTTTCAGACCTTATGATAAAAGTGTAATTGCACACACATAATGTCTAAGCAGGATTTGTGATTTCGGAGCTTGTTTGCCAGCCATTTCTATGTCCGTCTTTCAGTGATGCATTAGACAGCTTGTGTGCAATTGTTAAACTTTTGAAATTAAAAATAGTTGCACAATAATAGATCCTGGATGTTCCAATTAGGTAGGAGGCATAAAATTAATTTTTAAAAGTTCTGAACAGGTAATTCAACCATTTTTTGAATGAAACAGTATCCTAATATATCTTCAACTGTGACCTTAGGGGATCTTTAGCTCTGTGTTTATTATTGGGATCATGGTTTGCTGTGCTATCACACTGGACGGCATCTTAATAAGAGAGGTTTCTGATGGTTTTTAAACCACATTTACAAGCATAAAGGCGAACAATAAAATAATAAAAAATGTTTAAATTGGGAAATTACACTAACTATGGCATTACAAATTTGCTATCTTTCATTTTGGTTTGCATAGGTGTACCTCATAAAGGAGCCAAGGAATGTATTCTTCAATTTAAAATGTTTCATATATGTTAAATACATAAATAGTGTAAATTCTGGTGAAAATTAGAATATAGTTGATTTTTTTAAAATTCACTGTAGATAGACTCTCTGTCTTTACAGCCAACAGGTCGATCGCATGTCGGGGAAGAGCGAGCGACTGAGGTCAGACATGTTTGGAGAATTGCTGCAGGCAGCAAACAACACAGGTGACCTCCGAAGTTGCCCGGTATGTAATTCAATCATTGTTTTTTTTTGTTTGTTTTAATGTGACACTTTTCAAAGTTGCGGCTGTGCTATTTTTTCCCCCCGTTCTGCTGTTCAGTCAGAACATCTGTCTGAAGTCAAAGCTGATTCGTGACAGGCGGCCATTAATGAATAATTCAGTCGTGCAGTTTAACAGTTCGCATGTTACTGTAAAACCGACACAAAAGTGATTCTTGCAACTGTGCACAGTACACTCTGTGCTTTCTGCTGTGACACTGCACTTGAAGCGGCCGGAAGGAGACGGTGCCAGACTAGTGTTGGGATATAAATAGCGGTGAGGGCTTATCCACTGTTTTTCTCTCATCTGTATTTGCTACCGCTGTCTTCTTTTTTCAGTGTGCATCAGTTGGGTAAAGCTGAGCGCTCTGTTCCCTTAAATCCATTCTTCTTCCAGAAATTTCAAGTTAAAGTATTAACTTAATCAGCTCTCTGATGACGGTGATGTTTTTCGGCAATAAGTCACACAAGTTTTTATTTTTATTGATTTAGTTTTAGCCCAGAGAACAACAGACAAAGCCACGACCTGCTAATCTGACTTTTGCTCATTTGTTTGTAAAGGAAAAGCTTGACTGCATTTGAATTCCTGTGTTTTCAGGAGTCAGATTGGTTCAGTTAGAGTAGAACAGACAGCTTCAGTCACAAAAAAGCACAAATTACCCCTTCAAGTAACTGCATACATTTTGATCGTATGACTGGTTTACTAGTTTCCTGAATATTGAATTCTATTTTTCATTTTGTGTAAAGATTTTTTTTCAACATTACTTTGGTCAGTTTCTGTATCTTTATTTTATTGACTTTGTCATATGTTGTGCTAAAAAAAAAAGTGCTCACAGAAAAACTTTATCTTCTTATTACCAACGCATCCAGGAGTCTGCTGGGATTTGCTTGGAATTAGAAAAGCCAGTAATTTGACTTAATGAATTGGGCCAAACGGACTTATTTTGAGAAGAAATTATAATTTAAACCAAAAAGTCTGATACTCTGCTGCAACAAATCCTATTCTTACACTTACAGTTTGTGAATAAAGCTGATTTTAAATGGTTGTTACACATATTCATTTACTTCTCTTAGAATTAATAAGAACAATATTTTTTGTCTTCAAATCCCATCATTTGGAATTGTAGGATTAATGTTTTTTTCCTTGTCTTTACATAAATATTATTCTTCATGTGTTGCAGAGTGACTGTGGTCAGAGCATCAAGATCCGCCGCGTTCTCATGAACTGTCCAGAGATCGTGACTATTGGATTTGTGTGGGATGCTGAGCAGTCTGATCTTACAGACGATGTCATTCGGTCTCTTGGCCCACGTTTAAACCTTTGTGGGGTAAGAGCCCAAAATGATGAATGACAATATCTGTGGCTAGCAAGCACAAGATGGCAAATTTGGAATGCGTCATGTTTTCTATGGTCAAAAACACACTGCATATAGAGATTTGCAGTTGTCGGCAGATTTAGAACTTTGTGAAAGGAGGGACAGTGTGCTGTAATCTTTAAAGTGGTTATAAAAACCACACACATGCATTTTATTCTCATTGGATTTATCATCTGGCAGAGAGTAATATGTGGCAATCAAATTTCAATTTTCTTCTTTTCAGCTTTTCAACCGAGTCACTGATGAAAATGCCAAACGGAGTGAGCTACATCTGGTGGGGATGATCTGTTTTGCGAGTAAACATTACTCCGCTTTTGCCTATCACACCAAATCTTCAAAATGGATGTTTTTCGACGACGCCACCGTAAAGGAGGTTAGAACGTCTGCCGTTAAAGCGCTTTACCCGTTTTTAAACATCTACTGCTTGTTACTGTGTGTTACATGCTCTTGCGCAACATTTTCTTTATCCCAGATTGGATCCAAATGGAAAGACGTTGCCTCTAAATGTATCAGGGGACATTTCCAGCCTCTTCTTTTGTTTTACACCAATCCTGAGGGAAGTCCGGTATCTAATGAAGATGCACCGAGACAAACCACCATGTGTCCTCGGTACAAAGCCCAAGTAAACGGTGATGTGACCGGTAAGATCATACTCCGCTTATTTGCATACCTAACCCTAGTTCTCTTCATGATGTGATTCCCCCGCCCCCCTTTTTTTAAAAAAAATCAGAGACATGTATTTTATTTTATATCGTAGAGCCTGTACATAGCTGTCAATCAGTGTATTTATAGCAGCACTTTATGTGGTAACAGATTATGGCTACAAATGAAATGCTAAAAGCACAGGTTAACCAAACTACAAACAAACTAAATAACAGTTAAAACCTTTGAAAGTGGCCATGTTAAAATGCTTTGGTGTATTTAAAATTCAGTCAATGGACATAACAGACTGCCTCCAAGTCATTCTTTCATTTTCTCACACTAAGACACTCTGTCATTCAAGACTTTTTACCAAACTCAAACCTTATCATGAATTATACCACTTAGATCATTCATTTAAAAAAAATTTAATGTATTTAGGTTTGCTGACAGTTTTGACTGCATGCCAGTACAGTCAAAGAGTCAAAAAGTCATGCAGGGAATGAATGTATGACCTTACATCTTAAGCTGGATGAGGTAACAGATAATCTACAATGATCCATGCAGCCATAAAGAAAATAACATATCTGTTTTAAAAACTATAACATCACTCTTCATGGTAGCGGCTCCATGATGCATGTAGGACTACGTTGTCCTGGGACCGTCGTCCTTCAGCAAATACAAACGACTCAGAGCATGGTCAGCATCAGCATTATCTTCCTACCATAACTAGGTTGTGATGATAGCAACATGTTTGGATCAGTTGAATGATCAAAATGCTGCAATTTCAGTGTTTTACAGTATTTATTAGGCCTCTGAAACCCTGGCAGTTTCTGGGCACATTTGCTTTTGTCACAGTCATAACCTGTGGAAGCAGAACAACCATGTCGAGAAAAAAGAAAACTCAGAAATATCTTCTGTGCAGTGTGACACAGTTATATTGCTATACATCATAACGAAGAACAAAAAAAGTTATTCAATTATTTATTTTACAAAAAAACAAACTAGAATTAACATGGCTAGCATTTTATTGCAAGTGTACACAGGTGTTACCAAGACTGGGAAAATATGGTGACTGTGCATGCTGAAGATATTTTACTACTTAGATTTTTCATTTATTTCCATAGCTGTCTCCTGCCTGCTTTGTATAAACAAAGTCTGCAATTCAGCTGAAAAATACCTGCATTTTTGTCATGTGATTGTTGGTTGAAGCTGAGTCACTAAGGGCTAGCCGGTTGCACCATGAGATGCAGAATTTTTAGTTTTTTACAGAATCTAGTCAGAGCAAATGCTTTACTCTGGGGGATTTTAAAATGAGACATGTAGAATAAAACAATTTTAATTAAATATCTGGATTTTAAGGTTAGATTTGGTTCGGTTTTGTAACAGAATGATACGTCAGATTCAAGGACCACCAGAAAGTAAAAAATCCAGAGCTCTTATTTTTGTGTTGGTTTTCACAGTTTTCGGGTTTAATAAATAGAAAAATGTTGCCATTTTTAAAAAAAGACAACATGCCTTTCAGATTTTGGGGAGCTCAGAGGGTTAAGTAAGCCTTAATATGTAAGTATGCAGGATACTTTTAAGATATGTAACACGGTGCAGATGTAAGAGGACTAGCACAGTAGCCACTCTGTTGTTGATCAGTTATTTTAGTCTGACCACTGATCATAGTACTGGGCAGCCCCACCATGTTGGCTACAGCAGCTGTATGGTGTTGACCTATCTAATGGTAAGTTAGGTTACTTGTGACTTTTTAATTAGAATATAATGACATGAAATCAAACTATGTTTTAACCACATCCGATAGATTCTCATTGGCAATTTCTGCAAAAACAACTCCCATGATGATCCTGTGCTTCATCACATTGTATATCTTTTGTTACTGTTTTCTTCGAAAAAAACCCTCAATTTTAAGGAATTTATATACAGACTTTCTAAATTGGAAAAGTGACCAGAGTGTCTCACTGTAACACTGATGATGTTGTGTAAAGCAAGAGGTCATATTATTATGGTTAATGACCCAAAGAAACTACATGCATGTATGAGTGAATGAATATACATTTTTTATTTTGTGCATATATACTTAAGCTTTGTGTAAAATATTGAATTGACTACGTGCTTTTGTACACATAAACTGCTGGTTATATGCTGTAAATCATAGATATATATAATAAAGGCTAGATGTCTCGTCCGCGCTGCCGGCCAATGAAATTGCACGGCCACACTGGCGGCCATCTTGGTACGGTCTGCTCGCTCACCCAAAACATTGTGTTGTAGTGGTGCATGTACTTTTTAAATAACCATAACTTGCTCAATTTTCTACCACTTTTCAAACAGTTTGGTTTGTTATAAACGTCAGAGGTGTAGTTATAACACTACACTTATGGATCATTATGTTACACTCTCACGGCCAGCAACAACTTGTATTTGAATTATTTTGTATTTTATTTGTATTTTTGTAATTTGAATTGTGGCCACGTTAATAGTGTTTGTAAGAAACCAAACCGTTTGTAAATCCGTCAAGATTTCAGCGAGATAAGAGTATTTACGTTTGTGCAGATCACTCACCTTCCTTCACGTACCACAGGTTCTGCCAGAGAGCTTGTCCGTATCAAGATGGCTGAAGGGTGATCCGTTCAAAACACCGCCTTAAGACGTCTAGCCTTTATTGTACATATCTATGCTGTAAATAACCACAACAACAACAACTATAATTCTCTTCTTATAACAAGAGCGTTGCTGCCAGACATCAACGTCAGAGATTATCCTGTGTCAGGCAACTTGTGCTGAATCTAAACTACTGCATAAGAGGTCATGATAGTCGTTAGAACTTTTATCGATTTCAGTTTGTCTAATAATTCAATTTCCAAAAATCCCATTCTGCTTAAGCATTCGAACTACCTTTGTGAAAGTATCATCACCTGAAATAAAACATTAAACTGTGTCAGCACTTGTGACACGAACGATTTCACTCAAATCGCAAATTACAGTTATGGTTTGCATTGGGATTGTGCTGTTAAACCACAGGCAGAAAGATTGTCCTGTCCTGTGTGCTGGCTTGAACTTGACATGAGGATGATGCCGCTGTTGCACGCAGATTACCACCCACGCCTCCCTCCCTAATCCCTGCTCCTGTGGCCAAACGCACTCATGCTCCCGCTCCACAGTTATCACTCCTCCCCTAGACGTTTCCGATGTTTGCCTCCATTAATTTATCAGCTTGGTTTTTTGGCAATGGCATCTCGCCTCTTTAGATGGATTGTTTTGCTTTAATGTGGTGCCCAAATACTTTGGCATGGGACAGGATTCTTGTTTTTCTGTCAGTCAACGTAAGTAATTGATGTTTTTGCTTCACAGGAAAGTATGGCTTGGGTTTGTTTTGGCCATTTTTTAAAATTGTTATCTCTTTTGTTAAATTAGATTATGTACTGAGGTTTACTGAAGCACTGTTAATTTGCTCTGCAGTGCGTAGCGTTGGAAGTGTTCATTTCTAGTACTTCATCCTCATGTCCACTCTTCCAGCTTGCATTACAAAGTCTCTGTAACTTCAGGCAACATGATGAAGTGTGCATTAGTTAATTACTTGGCAGACATGTAAGGTATACTTTATCCAAATCTCGTATCCTTTTTCAGTGGAACTACTTAAATGTCAGCATTAGGCTACACGAACAAATCTGGAAATCCATAATACTACAGCTTACTCACTGCTGTTACTCATCGCTGTTATAACATCCAGCAGTCATGCACACGCACACGGCGTTACGCATTATTTGACCTCATGTTCCATTTTCCTTCAACTTAAAATTTTTTTTTTTCCCCCAAATTGTGTTTGAAAAAAAAGAAGCAGCATCTTATTGAAGTAAAGCACTAAACAAATAAAAACACACATAAAGAAGAGCAGAGTGCCGCAGAACGTGAGACGTGAACGACAGCAGCAGCTGTTAGGTGAACATGCTCATTTGAAGGCAGATGTTTCACAGTTCACATAATCACTGTTTCTCACAGTGACCTGCTTGCTGCAGAGCCAAAGAAATACACCACAGGGTCGGAAGATATGGCAGGAGTACTGTGTTTTAAACAAAGTTAATGATGCAGCAGCTGCTCTTTGGTAAGATCTTTTGGTTTTGGCTCATTTGCAGAAAGATGCAAGGGAAGAATGGTGCATTGTAAAAACAACTGGTATTGCTGCACTTAAGTTTGTTACGAATAGCTGGGTGGCTTCAGTGAGACTCAACTCCTGCTGTCTCAAACTAATGCTGCTGTATCTGTGTAAATGAACTGACATGAGCCATCGTTGGTCATTCATGTTGTGTAATGCTTTTTGCAGATTGAGAGAATTTCGGGCCAGAGACAATTATTCACTATTTGTGTCACCAATGTCAGCAGGTCTTAGAAAGGTTAACCTAAGAGCCAAAATACACAGTGAATTATAAGAAAACATCAACTGCAATCACTGCACTTGCTCATCTGCCATTTGATTTATATCTTTCCCCCCCAGTGAAACATCCACTTGGCAGTCCTAACAGATTTCAGGAGCCTTTCATGGAGAATTTGCAGAGGCCGGGGGAAACATCGAAGAAGGACAGAGGGCATCGAAGGACCGACCCATCACAACACAAAGGTAGAGCATTGTGTCTGCATCTCACTGTACTGTAGTTCTAATAGAAACACAAAGGCATGCAACAAGTTTGAAATAGTAATTCCACACGTAATCTGTCCGCTCTCCTCAGATATGGCACATACAAGATCTTCATCTCCACCTGAGAACGGGCCAAGGCCTCCTGTGGAAAAAGTGAAAAGCCATCCACGTGCTGAGAAGTCATCAAACCATTCAAGCAGAGCATCTCAGGAGCCACATGGACAAACCTTAGGTACACAGAGTGGTGGCCACAGCCGGAGGACCAACACGTCCCCCAGTCGCCACGATCAGGATAGCTGCCACGAACAATGGGAGAAAGGCGGGAATGGAGGAAGCCGTGGTAAGTCCAAGTCCACTTGGAGACCCATCCGGGAGGTGTTAAACGTGGACACGGTGCTGAATGAACTGGAGCAGCGCCGTCAGCAGCAACACGACAGCCCGCGGTGCAGCAAGCCTTCGTCCCAGGAAAGAGCGCACGCTGAGCAAAGCCGAGACCGAGAGCGGGAATACGCGAGAACCAGAGAAGATCGGAAACAGAAGTGTTTAATGACGATTTACGAGGACGAGCAGCGGCAGGAGACCGAGAGCCACAGCTCGGTGGAGTCGGAGAGCAGGACGAGCCAGCAGAGGGGCAGCAGGCTGAAGGGAGGCCCCAAGACTCTGCTGCGAAGCGACACCTGGACCATTCAAAGGACAGAGTCTGGATATGAGAGCAGTGACAGACTCAGCAGTGGCTCCACCAATCCTGACTCCCCGGGGGTTGACGGCTTTGCGGTTAAAGACCAGAGATCAGCTCCAGAGGTGCAGTTGCAAAGGTAAGAAGACCATTGTTCCGTGAGTTTTCTGCACAAGGACAAATGAAAGATGTAGGGACTGTGAAATCATGATTTTATCTGCAGCATCCAACCTTGGTAGAACATAGTAGCCTGGACGCCCCTATAGCTCACCGAGTTGAGCAGGTGACCCATAAACAGGGCCTATAGTTCCCCGATGCAGCGGTTGTGGGTTCGACCCCCTTTGCTGCAGGTCTCTCCCATTCTTTTCCCCCCTTTCCTGTCTATCTCTACTGGTCTAAAATAAAGGCAAAAACCCCAAAAATATATTTAAAAAAGAACATAATATCCTATTTATGAGCCACGATCATATTTGACATTAGTTCAGACATAAAAATATTTGAATGAGAACAAGGATAGAAAGTCAGATATTTCTACACACAGGCTTTCATGTATATCGGCTAAAATGGCAACTGATTGTCCAGAGCAGCCATGATTTTCATCTATTTCTGGCTTTCATCAGTTTGCTAATCTGAGATCCGTTATGTGTAGCGATGTGCCTCGCAGTACTCAGGTGAGGCACACAGGCTAAGGGACAGATCACCTGGTATGAGAATGCTCTGACCACCTTGTCACCAGTGAATATTGTCAGAAAGAGGAACTTGCAAATGCTTTTAGCAAAGCATCTCTGATGTTTATCTCACTAGTACATGCGTCATCACTCAGAAATACTTTTGATTTCCTTGGAAACTAGGGTAAAACTGGGCTGAAAATGACACACCACTTGTTCCCATGACTCCACCTTTAAAGTTGCTTGTGCTATGTATAGCATCAGTGCTCCAGGAAGGCAGCTGAAACTGCAAAGATTAATAATGTGGGGTTTAAACAGTTCAATATGTAAACTTCTTCCCCAGTAGACCATGACAGTACTGGCATTTCTAGTGACCTCCACACCCTGTGCAGCCACAGCTGTCACTTGAAAGTGCAACAACAACAATCTTGGAAGTTTATTGTATGTCACACTGTTCTGTATAAGATGGGTCTAAATAAAAATGTGTTCTCAATCTGTCAGACAGCTCAGTGTCAGTTGATACTCAGCAGTGTGACATGAATCAGAATTTGAAGCACGTCAGACTGTGGCATGAATGTAGGGTTAACTGCAGCATTACAATGTCAGTGGAAAAGAGTCGATGAGACCAGAGGTGCATCATCAACGTGTGCTAACCATTTGTATGTTTTGAAAATGTAGCACCACAAGTTCTCTTTTTCTCTTTTGCCTGCATCATTTCTAATTGTGCGTCTGTTCCATGGATGTATTAGGCAAACTGGATTCAGCGCTGCCTCAGTCCTGCTGCTAATTTGATCAGTCGTTACTCGCGGTGTTGCAACGAAACCATCCCCATTACAAAACAAACATCTTTAAAATTACCAATACGACACGTCCAACTGCAAATGCAGTCTGTTTTTACTCGTACTGTGATTTTTCATCCATGTAGGTTTCATATTTGGGATGTTTTTGTATAGCCAAGGAGTTTATTTGCATCATGTCATGCCAGTCTGAGGGTCGGGCAGGAGTGCGCAGGTGAGGCCAGCAGGGGAAACACTAATGAACATGTGCAGTGAGCCGCACAACACTGAAACAAAAGCTGGAAGCTAGAAAACATTTTTGGCTTTGGCTCATAACAAGCAGTTTCTATTCATGTGAGTGGCTGATCTGTTCTAGTCCAGTTCTTCTTGATACATCCGTGGTGTGCACCATTTTTTTCTCGCATTGTGTTCCGACATGTCTCATAGATGCACGTTATAGCAGCAGTCACACTGAGAATTTGGTACCAAAGTTGTTTTGATCGCCGTGGATCCAAAGTTCAGCTGACATGTCTCAGAGCGCAGTCTGTTGCAACAGTTTTGACAGCTTGTGTCTCAGACAAGCCCAAATTGCACCGTGTAAAGAGTCCTTCAGTTGATTAGTTCATGATAAACACAAGATGCATTTCTGATGAATAAGCTCAGATTTTTAAATAGTTGCTCTCAGTGGTTGATTACGTACTTGTCTGCATATATCTGGCAGAAATACATCAAGAAGAAAGGGTAACACGAGTATTAGAGGAGCTTGTTATCATATCTCCATAAAATAGACATGATGCCGAGCAAAATATCTCAATTATAGTTCAGATTTAATGAAAGTCTTTAAAATAATCATGCTTTAATTTAATTAAAGGCTTAATATCAACAAATCTCAAGTACCCTCTGCCAACTGATGGTTCACTGACATGAACTGACATGGTTCTAAATAAGGACTTTGAAAACAACAGCAAATTATGTATCTGAAACAAATCCATTAGAATCCAGTTACACCTGAACAGACAGTGAATTTAGAAAGTTTTGTTTGTGTCATTCTGCCAGTGTTTCTCGGAGGTCCTGTGCATCATTTGAGCATGCAAATTTGTTGCTATATTGACTGTTTTGGGTTTTTTTTAAAATGCTTCCCTGCTATTAAACTTGAAAACATGCTTATATGTGGCTCTTTCTTTTCAGTCAGCTGCACCAAAAGGGGGGCGATGCGAAATCAGCGTCCTCACCTTCACACAACGGTAAGTTTTGCCATCTAAAGGGCTTGATCAGGTTTTTCTGACACAGTTAAAGTCGTAGCTAATAATAAATGCCATAAATCGTAACTTATTATTAGTGGTCTGTAGCAACTGGAGCAAATGTAGGGCTTACGTTATATAGCAGCCTGACTGTGTGTAGGAAACAAATGTGAATTTAATAATTAACCCCTGAACACAAATTCACATCAAGTCTATTTCAGGAACACAAAGCATGTGTTTTTTTTGTTTTTTTTAAAAAAAGGATGAGTCATAAAAGAAGCAGAAGGATAAAATAAGACACCAACAAAAGAAAGATGATGTAAGATTTAGCAGGGAGAAAAAAGAATGCTGTCTGACTGTGGATCTGATATGTAAATGCAAGATATACACCCTCGGGGATTTGAACAGCTTTCTTTCAGTGCAAAATGTGTTGAGTATTCATGCATACCCTACAACTGTTTAACTTTCCAGACATGTTCTTTCTTTCTTTCTTTCTTTCTTTCTTTCTTGTGTGGTCTGATACTGATAATATGCAAGCAGTTGAACATTGATTAACGTTGGGGTTCATTTCTGAGCTTAGACAGGCTTATTTAACCTCGTCACCCAGTCAGCCCTGCACAGGCATTAATCTGATGATAATCCCACAAAGCTCATTCAGATAGCACAGCTGGACATGGCTGCTGGCATTGTCATAAATATCTTTCTGTTGCATGCAGTACTTTGAGTGTGCTGCACTTGATACTTTATCGAGGCTATGTGCATGTAGAGCCAGTGTTTCCAACCAACAGCTAAAGCTTTTATCCTTGCATGGACCTCTCCAGGGCAACAGCAAAGAAAAAAATAACACATCTATTTTTAAAGGGAAGGAATTCAGCGCCACGCTGCCTCTCACTGCGCTGGTGCACGGAGCGAGCATGCTGACAGATTTATCCAGTTGTGGCAAAGTCTAGTGAGATTAGCTCTGTGCTGCTGCCACCTTGTGTCCTTAGAGAACAATTGCTTCCTATACAGACGTAGATGATGTTTTTTTTCTGCAGCGTCTTCTTAGTTTGCAGCTTTGTTTTATTGTGTGCATGCGTACAAGCCTGGTTAGTAGCTACAGAAGAAGATTAGGGTTTGGTTTTAATCTTGCAATTCAGAGAAAGAAAAAAATCTGCGCTATAAGATTAAAGGCTGAAATTTACATTTTAGTAGAATTCCAAGTTCATTCTCAGGATTGGGAAGAACAAAATCCAAACATTCAGAGAAAAAAATAGAATAATCTTGTTTCTTGTGCCAGATTTATTAATATAACCATGATTTTTTTTGTTGTTGTTGTTATTTTCAATATAAAATTTTCATACAGTGCACAAATACAGTGTTGTGTGTTTGCAGAAGCTCTGCTTACTTTAAACCTTCAGTGTGGAACTTTTGTCTCCACCTTCTGGCAGTGCAGTCCAGTGATCACTTTCTTCTTTACCCTGTAATCCTTCATTTTAACGCCAAATTTCTTTTTTACCTGGTGCATCATAAACTTTTCTCGGGTGCCTCCTTTTTCTGCCATTAACTCTGCCATACTTGGTCGAGCCTAGTCTGTTTCCATCGCCTCGGCTGCTTCCGTCTTCAGCTCCGGTCAACCAATTTTTGCTGGCGATATAAAATGCATTTATGCAGGAGCAGAAGTGTGAGAATGTCGCCACAAAAAGCAGATTTAAAACTCGACTATACTGCAAAATACAGAGAAATGTACCTGTTGCTAAACGGTTTAATCAGCATTGTGTGACTCATTCAGAGTGTAGTAGACGTTCATTTATATTTCCAGCTTTAATATGGAAAAGTAAGAAAGAAAAGAAAATAGAAATATACCATCTTTTGTACTAATCACAGAATAGACTTTTCCAAAAGGGGACTGATACATGGATTTGTCTTTTTTATGCTCTGATTGTATTTTCTTTGTCTTTGTTTTGATTCACTTCATATTCTGTTCTTTAGGTAAACATCAACCCAAACCTCAGGGAAAGAACCATGACCAAGTTTCACACTCACATCTAAAGGGCAGTCCAAGTTCAAGGTAGAGCTCTTTATCATGATTTATGTATAAATTGTTTCAATATGTACAACTGAAGGGTAATTCCGCTTTATTCCAACTTGCCGGCCAGCCTGATCCCCCCACGAATTCATCTGCACACACCAGATTGTTCGCACGGTTGAGGGTGACTTTCATGGTGGTTATCGTGTCCTCCAAGGAAACTCAAAAAGCTTAAAGCAATACCGGATTACCCATGAAATACTATGAGGATGAGTCATTTCACTGTGATGGTAAATCTATTCATCCAAATTGGCGGAACCAGACAAGGCGCTAAATCAAATGGAGGAAGAGACACAAAAGATCGAGGCAGAAAGGCAACAGGACAGTCCTGAAAGACAGGATACTTCTGAGAAATGATGGTGTTCTTGTGGTTACGACTCTCCACAAAATAAAATTAAAGCTGCTCTGAGTGAGATCTGTCGATTCTAGACTCTAGAAAAACGGTTTTGTCCATAACTACTACAAGAAATGATTTAGCAGCACCATCCTTAAAGCCTTGAAACCTTTATTGCTCTAAACAAAATCAACTGAACACCAAATGACCAGCTCTCCATCTGATGAGATAAGCAAAATTGCAGTGGGAGATGAAAATTTACATGTGTCTAACATACTCAGAAGTGAAAACCAGGTGACATGCCAGAGAAGAATTGCAGGAATTTGAAAATTGCAGGAAGTTTGCACTGTGTACCCCTGACGTTCATTGTTTTGAGCATGTCCTTATTTCCCTGCCACTAATACAATGGAGGTGGAGCACAAAGGTAGCATGAAACAGTTGTGAACAAAAGTTTACCTACATATGTAAAGGCCGTGTATATCACAGCAGTCTGGAGTTTCTAGTGACTCTTACAACCCTTAATTTTTTTTTTTTTTTAGTGAGAAAGTCTTTGGAACCCATGTGTCTTTGTCACAAAAAACAGTCATGCATTTTGGTTCTTCTGTGGATTTATCATAGGTCTTATGGAAATATGTCAACATCTGCTGATCTTTCTTTCTTCTTTAAACCCATAAACACCCGATCTACCGGCAAGCATGGTGGTGGCAGTATCATGCTCTGGAACTGTTTTGGTGTTCATGGAACTGGTGCTTTACACAAAGTAAATTGAATATTGAAGAAGAAGGATTAACTTAAGATTATTTAGCTTAACTGTACCATTTGTGTCAAGAGGAGTGGTCAAAGATACAACCAGAAGCTTTTGGACATCTACCAAAAGCGCCAAGTTCACCAACGGACATTTAACCAGACATTAGCATTGCTGTATGTATGGTTTTGACTCAGCAGATTTTGCAATATTTCCAGAAGATCTACAATGAATCTATGAATTAATCAAAATGCATGATTGTGACAAAGATACACAGGTTTCTGTGATTCCATCATAGAAAATTAAAGGTGAAAGGAGTCACTAGAAACTCAAAACTGCAAGGATGTACATGGTCTTTACAAGTGTATGGATACTGACAGCTGTATGTAGAGCCACAGCCATGGTAAATTTACTGAAAGTAAACTGTAATTGTCCTTTAAGTAATTGTCCTGAATGTCATTTCCGTAATATTTAATTAATAATTTTCTTTTGTTTTTTAGACGGAAATCAAAGTACACTTCTAGCACCTCCAGAAAAGCAGCGTCTTCAGAGAGGAACTCTTCTGGTTCAGATAGCAGGCAGAGTGAGCAGCAGGAGCTGACAAACTGTAGAGGGCACACTGGAGAAAGTACAACCCTGAGGCACATTACAAAAACCAGCAGCTCAGAATGGAACAGCTCCGATGATCTTGCTCTCTCTGAACCCGAGGACAGAGAAAGCACTTACCTCTCCAGTAACAGCGAGGCCGCCGCCTCCGATTCCCAGTGTCCCCACATAGCCCTGCCATACCATCCTCCCAGCAACGTGACTGCAGAGCCTCTCCAGCTGAACAACCAACGTCAGCTCGCTACGACAGGGTCGCCTCACCTTCGACCCGCTCAACGGATTTCTTCTCACCAGGGCGAAACGAGTCACGCAGCGTTTCGCCCCAGGATGCTTCAAGAAACTTTCCCATCAAGTCCTCGTCTTTCATCTACATCCTACATTAGTCCTCACAGGAAGCCTGACATGTCGGGCCTCCGAACCTTCTCAGATGCAAGCTCCAAGTCGGGCTCTGACCCGGAGAGGAGTACCCCGTCATCGTGTGAAAGTGAGGAAAGACTAACTGGGTGCAGAGTGGAACAGGCAGTGCCAGCTCAAGAGGTTTCTCTGACAACATACTTTAATGTGGATAACTGTATGACGGAAACATACCGTCTCAAGTACCACAACCAGAGGCCTCTTGTCCTCTCTGCCACGGTGCCACGGACAGTGATTGCGAGTGAGAGGAGAGATAATAGCCACACACTCCCTAGTGACACACACTCACAAGACGTGCCAAAAGCCAGACCTGAAACAAGTAAGCCTCTGTAGAAACACTTTAAGTTATTGGAAAGGACTAAAATGACAATATCCAGTTGTTGCCTTTGTTGGTGTGTCAGTCTGCGCACAGAGAACTGTCATGAAATGTATTTTTAACAAGCCTGTTCTCTTATTGTTTTTTTACAGGCCATAATAGCAATAAACCCACTGCAAAATGGAACCCAGTGACAGCCAAAGGACTGGATGAGCGTGGTTTTTTATGAGTGTTACTTGGTAAGTTTTGTTTACACGGATGGACAGGATTAACTGGATGCCAAAGAGTTTACAGAATGGAAACATGTTCAGAAGCCCTGACTTCTCCAAACTGAGCGGAGCTTATTTATGCAAGCTTGTCACATAAGTAAAACCTATTTCTAAATGCTGTTATGAATTGTTTGACGGATTATCAACGATCACATATATCTTCCATCGTCCAACAGTATTGCTGCGAGAAGATTTAGTTCTAAATCTTGTTTTTCAGTTTGCACAATGGGTGTTTGGAGAATTCTTTTTATCACCTTATGACAAGGTTAAAATATTTATTTTTTTATTTGTGCAATAGTACTGCAGAGGTGCTGCGGAACGGCAGATAAGACATATATTTAAGGTCAGGCTTTGAGAGATTATGGTGAGCCACAGGTGATGCTGTGATCTGTACAGGAATTATACAGACATGAGAGAATGAAGTGTGATGACAAATCACAGCATGTTGAAATGGAAAGGTACGTTAGAGATACTTTATCAGATTATGATGTCATTCTACACAGTACAATAAAATCAAAGGTTTGCCTCATCAACAGCAGGTTGAAGGTAGTTCATGAATTACACCTATTAAATAGTAAGACTGGAGACGTGTTTAATTAGTATCTGGGCAGCTTACCGACTTTATGCACATTGGGGACTTAAGCTCCCCAAAGAACAGACACTGCAACAAATACATTATGTTTTATTGCTGATTACTTTCAAGTGTTGTCATTTATCAGTTCTTTTACGACATTTATGTGTTAATGAATGACCGCTGGCTGCCCCCTATCAGTCTGCCAACTTTGCTGTACAAGTCCTTCGACAAAGATTCAGATTTGTTTAATTTCCCTGAACAAACTAAAGCAATGTTTATGCAATTTTTAAAAAATGTGTAACTTGGTTTGACAAAATGTGATTTTGCATGAGTGCATTCCCCGTCTGGCAGTCAGTAGACGGGGCAGCCCTCGGCCCATTCAGTGGGTTGCTATACACGATCACGCAGCCTTGTGTATTCTACCTTCAACTGTGCTGGTTCTTGTAATCCGTTTTTTTGTAACTCACAGTGATGTCAAACTGTATTTTTTCCAGTCTTCCTCCTTAAGTGGACAGATTTAAACAAGTCTGTATTTGCAGGTATTTCCATACTGATGCCAATGTAATTGATATACCTATCTGACATTATTACTAACCATACAACGCAACACGCAAGTATTCTTGTTCATAAGAATAATGTTCTGAAACCTGCATGTGGCCTTTACAACATCATACTAGCTGTGTGTACAGCCAAAGCATGAGCATGAAAATACTGGACTGTGCGTCCAGCAAACATAACATTCTATTGGATTTTATGTAATTGTAATAAAATAAATTCATCAAATAGCAATTTGTAATCAAGATTGATTTGGAAACTTTTTTTTTTTTTTTTTTAGCATTTAAATGTGGTTCTCTTCTCTTGCTAATATATAAATACATCAGTTTTAAAAAGAAATGTATGATGCAAACAGTGCACTGGAAAGCTGTCCAAGATGTACTATGCATTCTCAGAAAATTACTTTAATACAGATGTGGGTGTTTTTTTTTTTTTAAGTCTGTATTGTGGAAATCCGACATTCCCAAGACCACACACAGATTATGTTGCTTCATTTTCAAATATTAGCAACATTTTTTTATTTTATTTTTTTTCCATTTTCTGATCACTAGATTGCCAAGTCTTTTTCCTAAACAACCTGCCATTTATACAAATGTTTCCACTTTGCATTTTTATCTATTCACAGTAACCTTTGTCCAGGTGTTTCTCAACTCCTCTCACTGAGTACATCTAGTCACTAAATCTGCCATGTGTGTGTGTGCCGTGTTCGTGCTGTCTGACACCAAAGGATAGTGTTTAGAGATAGTGTTTTATCTGATCACGCCTAAGCTAGTGGTTTTGAGCATCTATCTGCATTTCGCACAGTTTATTTATTGACACTGTTTAAACTGAAGAAAAAACATGTAACGCTGAGAATTTCTTTGATCAGTCTCACCTCTCACTGATACTGTACGCACCGGACACATACTAGACTGCCTTTAAATAGGTTTATTGTGCTGTAGTAATTATAAATCACTGTTATTTTAAGGTACCTGATATATTCACAGAATATATAAATTATAAATTACTGAATGAGATGAAGCTCAGTCCAAGTATATTAACCAGATTACCTTAATGTTGTCTCACCTGCAAAGTGTTTTGTTGTGTTTTTTTTATCTTATAACTAATGCTTGTTTCATTTATTTACTGCATTTTCCTGTTATTTATGTTCTTCATCTGTAAAGTAGGAATTCTCTCGTTTTGTTTTGCATTCTGAACATTGTGTCTTCAGTTGTATCAATAGTGCCTTGACATTTTTAGTGGAACATGTTCTTTCTTTTTCTTCTTTTTTTTGTGTGAGTTAACTACATTTAGGGAATGAAGGAGGCGAATGGAAGGGAACAGAGGATGTGATGAAATACTTTTTAAATATGCAATGCTAACCGTGACATATCTGATGCTCCTCTGTGAGCGTCAGGGGCAGGTCCAGGTCTGGTCATCCTAAAAGCCCCCTTTCAGATCTCCAAACTACAATCACTCACAGCTCAATCAGGAAAATTTGATTCAGACACCATGTGCGGAAAGTAAGGAAATCTGTGCTTATAAAGTAGCGAGTGCATCCCACCTCCTGGGCAAGCAGGACTTGGTGCTGAACCTCAACGTGTAATAACTGCAAGATTTTTCTTCACTTGAGCTATTGTATGTGTATGAATACATTTGTGGCTTGCACCCATTGTCTGCAGGCTTTATGTATGCTACAGGTCTGTTTTCCTCCTGTGTCTCATGTCACAGTTGGCATTGCATCAATCCATATCCTTTACCGCGTGCTAAACATACAGGGACAGAACCTAATTACACTGTATTGCATCAACACTCCAGAACAAAAGAGAACTTTTTCCGCATTATGTCACTGATTTCATCTGATAAGTCACAGGCTGATGTGGCCTGATGTGTCGGACCTGTATGCCTCACTGAATCCTACTGTCATACCTCTGTGTGGTCTGGTCTGTGGATTTGGCCTGACATTACTGCTGAATTGAGTTGTTTCAGTGAATGCTTCATTGACATGTGTAAGTACAGATCAATTTAAAGAAACATGTAAAATCTGTCTACACTTTATATTTTTGTAGATAATATATATTTATTTTTATTCATTGTTGAATAAAGTTTCAATTACTGTATCACTCTCAAATTAGTCACTTATGTTTAACTTGACCTCCACAGAGTTCTTCTGACAATGATCGTGTTGACACATAGAAAAACAGAAGAAAGACAAATCGGAAAATAGGCAGTTGTGAGTTTATTGCAAATATCAAAATCCAATGCATTACAGGTAGTGCTCTTTTTGCAGGTTACACTGGTGCAAGTAGCTGATAGTTCAACACAATACTGTATGGAAACCTGAGGTCAAATTTCTCTCACTTCAGGTCTGTTGATCAGTTTGGTTTAAGCCCTCTTGAAAATCCTCTTGGCGTCCACACCTTCATAGTTGTAGCTCTGTTGGAGAAAGATCCAGTTAATATATGACTTAAAAATTTCAGCATCCAGCTGAACTTTCAAGAGAGCTTACTCAGACTGATTATGAACTTGAGGTCTGTATTTATAGTGAATTTACAAATATATCAGAGCATCAAATAAACATTGTAGAATAAGTTTATCCTAAGATAGACAAATCTTAACATCTTCTATAAAGGTCTCCTAAATGTTTGATACAAAATAAACATTTTTGGTGTTCTAGTTTACATCCAAATCCAGCCTTACTTGTATGAGTTCATCTCCTTGCACGACTCTGGTTGTTGTCAGTTGCTTTCCGTTGTCCTTTCTATTGAAAATCCCCTTCAGCATGTCTCCCTCCATAGTCCAGGAACCCTGTGGGGTGGAAAATAACAGTGATGACGAGATTTCTGCAGAAGTCCAAAGGCAAACTGTGCTGACTGACAGCTTTAGGACTGTTTGTATTAGTGAGGTGAAATCAGCTGGGCACAGTTTGGTTTTATCACAGTACAAGTCAAACCTTGATTTATTGATTGGTTTTCTTAGCTAACAAACTATTAGCCGCGGCTCAAAGGTTGAAGGTCTAAAATGAGTGAAAAGGCGGCTCAAAGTTTTCAGAAGCAGGAGAATGTTCACACAAAACAAGTCTGTCTCATAAATGGAGACAAACCTAACGTAATCAGTTGTGATGTATAATTGCATCCCACCAGATGCCACTTTTTGCTCACCGAGAGTTCTGTTCCATCAGCGAGGCTGTAGTCAAACTTGACCCCCAGGGTGAAGTCTATTTCCAGGGTGCGGAAATTACTGCTCTCCTTCACATGAAACTTGTCTCCACTCTGCTCGATGGTTATCTTGAGGTTGTCGTGAGCAGCCAGCTTCCTCTTCACCATGTTAATTCCTATCAACAGACACATTGAATACGTTCAATAGGCCGCGAACAATGACGGGAAGTTTGTCAGGATTTAATCTCTTTTCATGCACAAGTAGTTCCTCCGTTTGTGTCTTTTAGCAGGTAAGTAGGAGCAAGAGTCAAATCGTAAACACGTTGGGTATGTCATCATACCACCAATGGGCTTAACTGAGACCTTAACGACATTAAGCGTTTAAAGACTGCTTATGTATGTTCACTTTGAACTTTTTACTCATGAACACACAAATATGAAAACCAGTTTCTCAATATGATCAAGTTAAATGTGCATGATTATTGGTTTGATGCAGAAATTATATCCTGACTTAAAGGCAGCTATCTTCATTAAATATCACATATTGACTGTGACTACCTGCATTTTATCAGCTATTTATCAGGACTTTAACATAATATGGTGATCTTATTAATCAAACAGCATACAAAGTAATGAGACACACTGCAATAACAGAAAACAGTTATTTAAGGAACTTTAAAACTGCAAATTATTAGGATTTTGACACCACTCACCCATTTGTTCCATGAATTTCTCATAGTTTTCACTGCGATCGACTTTCCAGTTGCCGTTGAAGGTCATGGTTGCTGTGAGGTTGAGCTGGACGACTCTGAAGCGAGGAGTGTCTCACTCAAAGTCTGCCGCTCCTTTTAAACTGCACGCCCTCTTATCTCATCATCTGTCCGATTGCTGATGTGGCCGTTTAAAGCTCATATTTTCTCCTGGCAATATCTATACTGTACACTTTTTGAATGACTGAAAGGTTGACATCCTGTTGAACTTGTATCTCTGTTTACATAGGGTGTTGGTCATAGTGTACACACACAAAAAGTTTTCAGTCCAGGACTGCAGAAATCAAGCATGCAGCATTTGATACAAGAAAAATTAAAATACATATATATATATATAATTTAGCTTTAAACACAGACACGTTTTGTCTATTTTTTGTTCCTCCAGACAAAAGTGTAAATAAACAGACCTACTGAAGCACATGCATCTACATTTTCTTTGTGAATTACTGCAAATTAGTACAATGTAAATGGAATTTTGCTTAAAATTGTATTATTCAGTCAAGACATGGCTGCATTAGATGTAAATGCTTTGCTCAAAGACAGCAGAGATCAGTCTAGCTGATAAGATAATTCCAGTGATACCTTTGACCTTTATTTGGTCATTGCAGATAATAGAGACCTTTGAGATTTAAAGTTAATAAACACTAGTTTACACAATTATTATCTGCCATTGTGTGTTATTAAACCATACCTAGCTGAATGTTATGCCTATGCTGCTCTGAATAAACACAAAGCTAGAAATGTTACTGGGTGTTTCTGTGTTTTGAGTTTATTTGGTGGGGTAAGAAAATGTTGCATTTAGGGGCTCTTTGGCTCCAGCAGAATTATGTAGACACAATTTACGTATTTATGGTAAATGGTCTGCACTTATATAGCGCTTTTCTACCTTAGTGGCGCTTTACAATGTGTTCCCAATCAAAAAAAAAATCAAAAAACAAAGGCCAAAAAACCGCCAAACAAAGCGCCGGCCGCCAATGGGAAGAAACTTGGAATCAACCGCCTGCCCAAAGAAAACTCAAACGGGGAAGGGCAAGCCAATCCAAGAATTAAGTTGAACAAAAAATTTTTTTTAGAAAAAGAAAAAAGAAGCAGCAAAAATATGCACAAAACATGTTTAAATACAACTAAGTTTGAGAACGGTCTGAGTAAAACATGCAGAGTATGTCAGCTCTCTGTCTTATCTGAATTTCTACTCATCCAATGTGCCACTGAGACCTTTGCCTGACCTTCATTGCCACCTCAGTGAATCTGCCTCTTATCAGACAAAGACCTTTCTACTATGACTGTAGTGATGAAATTGATGGGGACGTACTTGAAAAAGTCCCTTGCAAGCTAATCGTTAACATAATTACATCCCCCTTAGTTTATCCGAGTTGTAGTATCAGCTCCACTAGCACATGCAAAATGATAACATGATGTGTAAAAGTTGTCACTATAGTGACTTGTCAAGTGAAGCCAAGGTTTGAGATCCCAGAAGCAGCCACGAACAAAGAAAACTGGCCCAGTGTAAGCAATATCAAAAAAATCTATGATAAGAAATGCTGTAATCTGGTGATTAAGTGTTTAAATATGAAATGGTTATTTTAACATTGCAATGAATTAAAGGTGATTTCGTGTAACCATTAAATTAAAGCTGCACAGTTAAAGATGAGAGAAGGGGTGAAAATGTCAAGACAGCAAGAAAGGTCATTGTCCTCAAAAACAGGTCATGTCTGAAGATGTCTTATGAGGCCACTGTCCACAGGATGAACTCATTGCTAAAGCAGGTAATGGTTCCTCTTCACCTGATTCACCTATTTGGTAACAGCAAAGAGCACAGTTTGGTCTCACATAGGTATCACATATCAACGCAGTCATGAATTGCAGTGGGACTGGGTTGGCAATTACCAAGTGTTCGACCCATTAAGAGGAAAGCGACCATAAATAAGCGTGTCTGGTAGAATGATTTGACCACTGAGGCTACTTAGTTGGGTCAACTATGAGAAGGAACGGGATAGACATTTGGATTAAGGCAGTTAGAAGCTAGGCGAGTGTCCTCGACACCAGCTTAAGCAGTTTTACAGAATCCTACTGGGTCAAGAGCCTGTAGACAGGTAGAACCAAACCCTAGAAACGGATAACTGGACCGGTGACCCTTTCGCAGGGGTTTACTGGCACGGATCAACAGACTCAAACTCTTATTTTAGTACAAGCTGTATGTTAAGGAAAGCTGCCACACTCTGTGGATCCAGCATTCTGCACACTATGACACTTTCTGTCTGGTCAAATATACAAGAAGTTTTTGGCCTCAACTGGAAACGAGGGGAGTAACTCCCATTTTGGGACATAACTTTGATACTAAATCAAAGAACAAAAAGAGAAGAAAGCTTTGAGCTGGCGTGTGGTTGTTCCAGAACAATGCACCCGTCCACAAAGCACAGTTGGCAGAAGCAACACAATGTGGCTTTGAACTGTTGCACCTTGCTCACCCTACTTGGCACCCTCTGACTTCTAGAAGATTGCCAAGTCGGGTGCGGTGGCATGTGGCACCTGTGCTGTGTGGATGGGCACATTGTCCTGGAGCAACTGCACACTAGCTCAAAGATTTCCTCTCTTTGCAAAGAAGTGACGACAAACATTTGACCTTTTGTGGACATTGATATAAGGCTTTAAGGTATACAGTTATGCCCCAAGATGGGAGTTAAGCCCGTTGTTTTCAGGTGGGCTGAGAACTTTTGGAAGAACCCTCGGAAGAGCTGTTGGCCAGGCAGGAGGTTCGAAACAGGATTGTGACCAGGAAGTCCCCATCCTGATCCCTAAACTGTCAGGATAAATCTGAGTGCAGTGGCTAAAACAGCTTGTCCCAAATGAATCTTGAGTCTTAACAGTTTGCTGTAAACTGAGAACGTACAGTATTATTCTGCTTTTATCATCACTGCACTGGTTACTCTACACAGGATACTTAATGATTATTGTTCAGACTTTCTATAGCCAGGCTCCAGCTTATTTTTCAGATTCATCAACTTACTAAACATAGCCTGAGGTCCACAGACAAAAACCTGCGGACTTAAACTGTTTGGGCATGTGCAGGGAATGTAGAGCATAGGTCTTAGCAAAATATACATCCATCCATCCATTATCTATACACCGCTTAATCCTTGTAAGGGTTGCAGGGGGACTGTAGTCTATCCCAGCTGATTTAGGGTGAAGGCAGGGGACACCTGGACAGGTCGCCAGTCTATCACAGGGCCACACTTAGAGACAGACAACCAAGCACACTCACATTCACACCTACAAACAATTTAAAATCACCAATTAACCTCAACATGTTTTTGCACTGTGTGGCAGGAAGCCGGAGAACCTAAAGAGAGAACCCATGCTGCACGGGGAGAACATGGAAACTCCGCGCAGAAAGGTCCCGGGTGTCCTCACCGGGACACGAACTGGCAACCTTCTTGCTGCGAGGTGACAATACTAACTGCCAAACCACCTTGCAGCCCCTTAGCAAAATATATAAACAAATAAATAATACAGTCTGTGGTTCTTCTGTATCACATACAGTTCTTGCAATGTTAATTGGTCACAGTGAGGAAGATACATCTCTGCAAGCAAACACCTTTTTCACAGCTGACAATTGACTTTCTGCGGTGGAAAACATACGAGTGTAATGGTTCATGCTGATTATGGCTCTGTTCCGTTTAAGTTTCTCAGTGCTTCAGTTGATTGCAGGAGACACTCAGAGATGATGTGTGTCGTAATCCAATGTATATTTACCTGTTGTTCTCATACTGTTAAAGACTAATTAGGACTGACTCATCAAAAAATTTTTTAATAAAGTTAAAGTTACCTGGGCTGCAAGGCGGCGCAGTTGGTAGCATTGTTGCCTCGCAGCAAGGTCACTGGTTCGTGTCCCAGTGGGGGCACCAGGATCTTTCTGCATGGAGTTTGCATGTTCTCCCCGTGCAGCGTGGGTTCTCTCCGGGTTCCTCCCACACAGCCAGAAACATGTTGAGGTTGATTGGTGATTCTAAATTGTCCGTAGGTGTGAATGTGAGTGTGCTTGGTTGTCTGTCTTTAAGTGTGGCCCTGTGATAGACTGGCGACCTGTCCAGGGTGTCCCCTGCCTTTGTCCTGAGTCAGCTGGGATAGACTCCAGCCCCCCCGCAACCCTAGTGAGGATTAAACTGTGTATAGATAATGGATGGATGGATATATGTTACCTGTTTAGACTACGACAGGCTTTCATTCGGGTTTAAAGCAAAAAAAAAAGCTCAGGTTTATGTTTCCAAAAGTTTATGTCATTTCTGTTGAGCCAAATTTGTGATATTGGGCAGAATATATATACGAAAATAAATTGACTTGAGTCCCTATTGAAAAAGGGAGTTTACACTGACTGAATAACTGGGTCAAAAGGCAAATGAAAGACCTCATGCACAATGTACAATCCCCATTGTTGCAGTCCTCCAGCAGACCACTAGAGAGGGCACTTTCCAAAAACATCTACACTATATTTGTAAAGAGTTACTTTGCTTAAAATGGTGCTTTGCTGACTTATGGTGCCTTTGGTTAAAATAATGAGAATTGCTTTTTCCTGTTCATCTGTGAAGTTTAGTCTTAAGAAGATTTTCGTGCTAGATAACAAAATCTGTGCTAAACAAAGGAAATACCAAGAAACCTGCGCTTCTTAAGACTTGTTTATTAGTTGCCTCCCGAAAGAAACACTGGCCAGATAAAACAGTCATGTCTTACAAGCACAGAAATGCACTCATACAGTACAAGAGGCACCTGTTTGTTCTTGCACAAGAAGCTGGAAGGACATTATGTGAAGTGTAGTAATTAAACATTTGGAAAACATGGTGAAAAACAAATATAGTACATATACTCCTGTGAAATTAAGCCAACACACAAAGCACAAAAAGTTTTATTTTAATTCTGAATATGATGGAGGCACATACAGTAGTTTTATTCATAATAAAGTTGACTATATTTTTTCTTTTCTAAAGGTCATCATTACATTTTAAACTATAGTTTTTATTTCAAAATAAAAATAATATAAAGTAAAGCAAATAATAAATATGTACCTCTGTAACTATCTCAGTAACATACGTACAGTAGAAGTGAAAATAGCACTCAGCATTATTTAATAAAAGGAGAAATAAGGAGATTGTGCAATGAGAGGTGCAATAAATACAGCTAGCATTTTAGTTACTTGTCTATTTTAATTTTCAGTGGTAGATACCTGAAGATACTAATGGCTCAAATGCTTTATAATTTGTGACTTCTAAAAATAAAAAATAAATATGAAATACATCTTTGCAATGTAATACATGAATGTAGTAAGCTTAGTAGTTTTTGTGCCAAAGAACTGATGCACATTGTGATATAAATATATATAAATACAGTATCTCTAATATCTAAATACTTAATTCTTTTATTGGTCTTGACATCAGTGTAGCATATTCAGTGTAAAATGTCATAACTCTGATATTCAAAAAACGAAAATGGACCACACAAATACTGACAGTTATGTATACAAACATGATATTGAGCCATAATACTTTATTTAAAAATGTCACCTAAAAGTCAGATCTCTATTTTTTTTTTACTTTAAATAAGGATTTTGCCATTATGACTTGTAAGAGTCATTCAGATAATGCAATTCTTAAAAACATATTTAATTTATCTAGAGTAAAATGAGTTTTTGGCTGAGTTAAGAATATAAATCCTCTGTATTTTTCACAGAAGAGACTGAACTGGCAACTAAAAGCATTTACAAGTGATGGAAAATGTTTTTTCTTATTAAAACTTTTTTGTGATAGTCTCTATTGTCTATAATACACCGCTTTTTTCAAAGATGTATCAAATCTGAATGTACCACATACGGCACCACTAACCTCTACTTATTCATGAAGCACTGCACAATTATAAAATACAGTGAGGTCATGACAGATCATGGGCAAGCAGAGAGAGGGGGGGCAATAGGACAGATTCACACTGAAACAACTGTGTTTTATCATATTAAAAATATCTGCATGTCTCTGGATCGATCATTATTTTATATCTCGCCTGCTCCCTCTCATCTCTGCCTCTCAATGCCAGCACACAGTACAATACTGAAGCATTGATTAGGTGATACTCATGGTGTTGGTTAAGCTTTAGCTGCGGTCGACTCTGTGTCGGTGGGCGTCCTGGAAAGAAACCACACCTTCATCGGCTCCTTCTTTCCTTTCATGGTGACGGGGCCCCGATACTCCAAGTGAAACTGAGGGTCAGCATTCTCAGCAGACTGCAAACACCTGGAAGACGATGTCACAAATTATGCATGTTGTGAAGTCCTGGTTGGCTGTATCTCACTGGTGAATCAAATAACGAAATCCTTCCTTGTATAGACTTCACGGTTTATTTTTTAAATGGATTTCAGGCTGTCTTTTTTATCTATTCCTGGTATTTTCTTAACACATTACAAATCCCTTTACGTTGTAAAGCTCCTTCAAGCCGGCCTCTTTTTTCTACAGTCAATGATAAAATCCACAAACACTTCACAAGAATAAATAAAACGCTTACTGTATGCTACTGATAAGAAATAAGGATGTACTTATTTCAGACTATACTCACCGATACGTGTATTCTGAGACATTTATTTTTCCCTTTTCACCAGTTGTTTCAGTGCGACTTGTGAGATTGACTGTATTTCCAAAAAGGCAATATCTGGGCATCCTCTGGCCAATCACCCCGGTCACCACCTCTCCTGTGTGGATCCCAATAGTGATCTGAAAAGAAAAGAAAAGAGAACGGTGATTGCATCATCTGTTGGTATTAATTTAACGAAAGCAAAATAAATATGCCAAACATAGTCCTGCTTTTTAAATATTATTGTAAGAGAACTACAGAACTGATCACTAGTTATCTGCTGTAAATCCATTATTTAAAGCGGCACATAATGTACCTGATGTATCAAAACTGTACTTACAAAAAATGCTGGCAAAAATTATGCTATTATAAACCTGTGTAAACGTTAAATCAAGGACTTGGTTTAAAAAAAATGTTCTGCTCCACAGAAAAATAAATAAAATAAAAACAACCAGCTATCCAGCTGAACGTTTCTCTTCATCTTTAAGTACAAGTCCTCAAAGCTATCTGCTGAAAAGGTGCAGCATTTGGTGGGTGGATATCAGGTTACCTTTGCCAGAAGTCTCTCTATGCACAAAATTAGATAATACTGTTTTTAGGTTTTACATTTGCAATAAACTGTTCCAAAAGTAGTTCTTGGCAATCTCGAGACTAATATTTACACTTGAACTTGTAGGCACTTCAGTGCTTGTTGTCTCCAGAGCATGAACATGTCGTAAGTGTCTGGGACAAATGAGAATCTATTTATAGCCACAGGGTCGTGAGATGATCTGAGTCTGTTTCTGCTACTAAACTGGATTCCTCTTCAGCCAGTGCCATGTCAGTGCCATGTAAACAACCTTTGTTAACCAGACATGATTTTCCAAAAGTGAAGTCTCAACAGTCATTGATACAATAACAATCTCTAACAGTCAGTAAAACAAAAGTTTGCTGTTTTTCATCTAACTTCAGTGTTGAATTATGTCCAGACACACATGTGTGTGTATACATTACATATATCTATAGATATATCTACAGAGCTGATTATATATGTATATATGTATATGTATGTGTGTGTGTGTGTGTGTGTGTGTGTGTATATATAT